CCCCAGCACAGAAGAAATCACTGCATTTTTATAGGTAATAAAGGTCATAATTAGTGATTAACTGGATCTCATCACCATCCCTTAATGACTGGTATCATTCCTTGGTGTGTCACTGATCGTGTGTTGCACAATAAGGCTCTTCCTTAACAACAAGGTGTCATTTGTACAGAAGACACCTGTCCAGTTCCAGAAGCCCCCAGCACCTGAACAAAGCTGTAGGTACTGCATGAAAAACAGGAGAGTGGAGAGGCTCACGCTTCACTTTTTGACACCAGGCCAACGCTAAGTGACAGCAGTTTCTTGTGTCCACATCCCGGCATCCAGAAATGCAACAGCCAACACCATGGGCACAGGAGATGTTAAAGAGAAGACAGAAAAAGGGAAAGAAGGAAGAGAGCAATGAAATGAGCTGTTCCCTGGGTTCACTTCTCCTGGGATGTTTTCCTGGTGGCTGTTACAGGGTGAACTCTGACCAGGGCTCCCGTGTGCTCACCAGTGTCTCCAGAGCAAACAGACAAGCCTTTTCCTAAGCAGAAGGATTTGTCTCATCTAAGCAGTCACATGTTTTCACAAAATAGGGATTTTGGAGAGCTGAAGCCTGCTGTCAGTTAGGGTTAAAGCAAAGCAGGAGCTCGGGAGTCATTTGGGAGAACAGAGAGACACGTCAATGCCTCTTCTGGAGAATACCCAAGACCAAGGATGGCAGACGAAACCAGTGTGCTGGAGGGGGCACATGGGTGAGGGCCCCTGCATGGGACATGTTGAATTAAGGCCCAAATGAGAGACAACACAAAGCTGTACTGGACAGCCAGGATTTTATGTCACCTCTCAAACACTCACAGAAACACAAATGCAGAGGGAAAGGTCTCCTTTGCAAACCAAGGGGCACCTGCACAGTGCCCATGAAGAGCCTGGCACCTTCATCAGCACATGAGCACAGAGCAGGGAAAATCCCCACTGTTCTTTGGGTTGCTTGGACTGCCCTTCATCCCAGAAAATGAGCTCACTTTTTGACTCAGTTCCCCCCTGTACTCTGTAATACCAACACCTGCCCCCGGCCTCTGTCTTATAATGAACAAACCCTCTCTGGGG